GTGCTGTCAAGTCGGACCCGACTCATAGCAACCCCTCCTTGGGTTGCTGAGGTAGTAACACTACAGAAGTAGATTGCCCAACCTTCCTTCCTAGAAGTGGCTGGTGGGTTTGAACTGCCATCCTTCTGGTTAGCAGTAGAGTTTTTCATAGCCATCAAAATTTCACTCATAACCTCTCTTCAAGATTTCCCAATCCAGTAGTGACCATTCACTGTCCAACCCCTCTAGTTTACTATTTCCGAATGCTTAAAGAGCATTAAAGAGCAAAAGAAAGTTGTCAGTGAAATTTTCCACAGTTTATTAGTTACTTTCAGTTGCAACACCCCACCTTTCATAATGGTTCACTTTCATCATTACATAGGACTTCAATTACACCCATTTCTGGGGGGAAAAAAAATTAATCACTGTATAAGAATATGAAAGATACACTCATGCCTACATATTCAAACTCCTACTCCACCATCCACATCTACTACTCTAAACCTAAGCGTGTACAATACCAGAGAGATGTGCAAGAAACCAGTATTACTCAAAAAAGGAAAAAAAAAAAAAAAAACGATTTTTAAGGGAAATATAGTCTAAGCAGACCTTTAAACAAATTGACTCCCACTGCAAGCACTGTCCCCAAATAAATTTATTACACCCTTGAATCAAGTATACTCAGGGCTGGAATGTCATGCCAGTCATGTATTACCTCCAACCTCAATAAATCTCTTTCTACTCTCCAAATCCTAGGCTTCTTTCTAAAATAGTTCACTAAAAAGCACCAACCTAATTAACAACAGCTTCCTCTGCAACAGTGGCCTTGATTTCACTTATTTACACATTAACTACAGCCTCCTTTTGGCCAATCCAGTCTATTCTCTGTACCATGCCGAGCCTTTTATCTGCCCTGGACAGCATTTTCTCCAGCAGATGAAGTAGATGCCGATTGATTTGCTGTCGAGCATGGTAAATTAATAGCAACAAATTGCTGAGGGCCCGACTCGCTGCTCCACCATGCTTCGGCAGTTTTGCTTTATTTGCTCCATGATGGGCAGCAGTCGGCCTCTTCAAGTCAATTTCTTCTTAACAACCTGCAATACTTTTCAATGGTGAAAATAGAGCTGTTCCTTGTAAGTCAGAAATCAATATCCTATTGCCCTTAGAAAATGCTAAACAAGCAGTATTGGCAATCCACTTGGTACTAGAGGGTATCAGATATAATGCAAATCCATACTGCTTCCCTCCTTGTAGTTATTACAGTTTGCTAAAAGGTTCCTAATGTCATTTATCATCATTTACCATCGACCAGAGAAGCTATGATTATGATATCCTATCAGTTGGCAAGGCCCTCTCATTTCTATTCAATTAATATTTTAGCAGCACTCAAATGGTTGTTGCCCAAGTCTTATAATAAAATTTACATGGCTTGAAGTTTTTGCTGCTAAGATTTAAAAAAAAAAAAAAAAGTCTCTCCCTATACATACATAATATATAGTACACACATACATATATGAACATATAAACATTTATACATAAATGTGCACTCACTTCTTTTAGATTCTAAGTGTTCAGAGTTCTAAAATGTTTAATGATTTCTAAAATTCAAACACCAGCCTCCATTTTTCCTGAAGCAATGACACCTTCAGATTACAGACTATGAACTCTGAGAACATCAGAAAGTTCCCATTCCCTTCTTTTCAAAATACGGTATATTCATCTCTTTTTACAATTCCTGCAGGTTTAATTCACTTAAGTATTGTTCTTAGTCTACATCCAATATTCACTTTTTAAAGTGGTAACTGCTGCTGTCAGATTAAATCAGGGAGGTCTTCTTTAATTACAGCATTACAGGTGAAGGATGGGACAAGCAGCATTTAGCAATGATAGCAGCTGCATGCATCATCTTGTTCATTCTGCCCACGATCACTAACCCATTTAGAAGAAGCCACACTGTATTTACAGAGAGGAATAATGGCAAAAAAAAGTAACAACTAAACCCTGGGCCAAATGTCCCAACAAAAACAAAAAACAAAACCCCGTATTTACGGACATCCTTAGGGAATAAAGGCCAATGTTCTCTCATTTTTAAAAAATTCCATTATAAAGACATCACAACAAAACATTTTCTAACCATGTTCCCATTTGTCATCTTCACTTTCATACTAGAATTTACGACAGCAGCGAAGCATTAATTCACATTATAGCCTCACGCTCCACCCTAGCTTTACGGGGTTTTTCCCCAGCTTCATCTGCTCAGCACTATTGATCCTACTAAAGATTACCAGAAATTAGACTCATATTTCATGTTCTAATTCCATGCCATGTTACCGAGTTCCCTTAAAAAAAAAAAACTAATTCTACTAGAGGAATGCTATTTACTCAGTTACCAAAATTTAAATTAATTATGTTCTCAAACATAATTGTTAAAAATTGGCAACATTATGCAGGCTTAATTAAGATTAAATCCAATTTACTAAATGTACTTTAATTGGTACTAATTACATTAGCTTTCATTTCAGAATGACAAATTCCCCATAGGTTTCACTTCATAGTCCTCTATCAGAACCAACACAGGGTGACTGATGATGAGCATCATATGGAAAGGGAAAGGCGGGGTGATACCGACCCCCACTCTGTCACTGCTCTGTGCTTTTATCCTTGTATCAATTTGCTAAGTCACAGAGTCATGACTCCATCACAGCCATCATTTTCTGTTCCAATGAAAAACTTCTCTAAAAATGAATACTCTGTGGCGGGCTGCAGCCAAGAACAGGAGTGTTAACCAAAAAATACACAAAGGTTTCAAATATCAGGGCCACCAATTACTAGGGGGTACTTCCAAGGACTCAGGGGACTCCTACTCTTGAACCCTTCGAGACACAAACCTAATAAGTGAATAAACCTAACCCGATCTTGAGAACTAGGCCCAATTATGCTGCAAGGCAATTTCCCTGCATTATTGCTGCTTTCCATTACAAGGGCATCCAGTGAGTGCATCTGGAAGAGAGGCTAAGAGGAACCAAGGCTGTCTGCCTAGGAAAACAAATAAAGACAGATATGCCTCTGTGCTTAAGGGGGGAAAAGAAAGAAAATATAATAAGTAGGTGGTTTGCAGGACTGTCTGTATCTCATAATGTGATAAACTGCCCTCAGGATTCTTGATATGATTGAATTTAAAAGCAAGAGGGGAAAAAAAAAAAAAAAGGAAAATGTACTCCATTCTCAATTTTAAATGGATGGCATTTGAGGCCAGCTGGACAAGAAGAGGACAGAATTACAGAGGTATAAAATGTGCAAAATTAAGGGATCTCACAAAATAACAACAACAAAAATACATCCAGCCAAATACAAGTTATGAGGCTCTCAGAAACGGAAATGGTGTAAGAAATCTAGAAGCAAGTGGTTAAGGTAAACAAGATATTAGAGGAGAAATAAAGGGACATTAATCATTTGGTCTAATCTTTGGAAAGACACTAATGAATTGGGAGGAGGACTAGGAAAAAAATAAGTACAAGATCCAGACCTAAAATGAAATGTAATGAGGTTAATTAACAAACAGTATCTCTCATGTAATTTATTCTTGTAAGGTACAGCTAAAGGACAGCCATTCATAACTTGAATGGATTTTGTTTAAGCAGGGAGATATTTACATTACTGACCTCAACAAAAACGGCCAAGATGCCAAAATAAGAATTTAATTTTAACATTCAGCATTCAAACTGTTATACTAATATTGACGTAACCAAGTAGTATACAAAGTAAAACAAAATCTGAAATAAAAGACCTAAGTCAATGACTCATTTTTTCCCAACTTTTTGTTTTCAAATATTGTCCAAGTGATTGCTTTTATTGTCTGACAGTCATTTAAAGATCTGAGTATGTTCCAAGTATGTGGTGAATATCCATACCCAAAAAGGAATCCATAAACAGTAAAAGCCTAACATGTGGTCATTTCATATTATCTAATGACACCAACCTTGAACATAAATAAGAGATGGAAAGCATCAAGTTTCTCTTGTCCTTTCCCAGCAAGAAAACATATACACAACACCTACTCTGAAATGGTTAATGAGACCCGAAGTACTTGCACTAAGGGATGACTGAAAATAAATGCTTCTAGGAGGAATTATTACCACCAAACAATATTCAATGTGTATGTGCACACAATACACATATACATAATGTGTATGTGCACGCACGTGTACATAGGTGTGTGCATACACATATATATGTATGTATATATATATATATACATATATATATGCATGCATATACATTTTTTGTGTAGAAAGCTTAAGCCAAACCATTCTATTCAGTCTCCTATTAAAAAAAAAAAAAAAAAAGCTATTTGAGTCCTACCTCTCAATGCTTCCCAACTCATCATTACTATTTTTTTTCCCCTTTTGGCTGAACTAATTGCTAGATTCAAGACCCAGTGTTGAACCTCATCATACCCTGCTATCAGGCTCATTTACTCTGCAAAAATTTTGGAAGTAACGGTTACAGTTCCTGGAAAGACCCAAGTAAGTAGCCTCAGGGGAATAGTACAAGGATTTTACATCAATTTCTTTTGTAGCTCCACAGATTTCATTTTGATCCTCCCAGCTCACCCTCTATCCATTCTTTCACACCGAGCCAACTAAGGCTCCCCACAATTTACAGTTTTACTCTTTATTATTTCCCAGGAAAAGCTCTTTCATAAAATAAGTCTCCAACACCCAAAATATATAAAGTAACTCTTTCCAAAGAAAAATGACATTACTGTCAAATTTAGAATCCTAATTCTGAAAATGTATAAAGTTTAGCACACATTCAGACATTTTTAGTCACGTTTTTAAATCATTAAAATTAGAATAATATGCAACAAAGATGGGAAGGCACGCATGAAAAATAAGATTCTAACCATACAATCTTTTAAAATACAGGCAATTACAAAAACATGCAAAATAGAACTATAAAACACACAATTCTGTTTTTAAAGTATATGCTTAAATGTTTATAAACAAATAACTTACCTGTTTATGCATTTCTATATTCAGCCCATAGGACATTTCATAATACTGTCAAAGAAGAGAAAGTAATTAAATAAATGCCTTTCATCAAACAGTCTAAGTTTGTTAGAAATGACCCAAAATAAAATAAAAGGCTCACCTAAGTCAAAATATCCCAATACCTATGTCTCCAAATGAAGGAAATACCAACCACACTCTATCTTCAGTCTAATAAACTACAAGCCACCTTACCACACACAAGCTATGAAAGAATAACTCAGTAACTCACAAAACTAAGCAAATTAAGTTTAAACATAGCATTCTTCACATCTCCAGCTGCCTTTTTATATCATAAACAGATAGATCAAGCAAAAAAGCCTGATGAAAATTCAGTACCATATGGACTCTAATTCTAGGCACAGTGGACAAGTTAATAGCAAAAACCTGTCTTACACAAATCCTGATGTTCTGAACAAACTATTCAGAAGGGTGGTGCTACTTAAAGTTCAGATTTTCATTTTCAGTATATTGCTCACATCAACACATTCAAAGGAAAAAGGCTCGAAAGAAAATGAATGAGTTATTTGGAAGCCTTTATGAACAATCATATAAATATGTTTGGTAACACTTCTGGAAAAAAGTTTTGTTTTGTTTTTTTAACATGCAGTATAAATGGCATTATAGAAATTCTGGCAGAAGAAATCAGTTAACCAGGAGACCACAACACTGCTCAAACCAACACTATAAAAAATGATAATGCACACATACAAATGCACACCCAACAGTAACATGAAGAGTGAAGAAAAAATCTGAAGAGGGGTCTGCTGTCTTTTCTTACCCAGCATTCTTCCAAAGAATTAAAGCTTATTAAAATCTTAACAGTATACAGAGAAACTGGTTAAAATTGTTTGGAATAAGAGCAATAAAACAACAAAGAAAACCACTAACACAGAAACATTTTGCTTGTGACTAAACAAAATATAAATGAGGTTTTGATTTTTTACCCCACCTATAAAAACAAAGCACAGAAAATTATACCCAATGAACTGAACTTTTTAAGAATTCAAATCAAAACTGGTTGTCAAAGGCAAGTTACAACATCCTAGAATTACAGACTGCTAATGGACACATTCCCACAACCTCAACTATACTGGCACTGTAACTATGATCTATCTTGCAGCCTCCAGCAATTTGAATGTATTCTTGCTTTTGGTATCTCAAACTAATAGGCACTTTGAATCTGTGACACAGTTTTCTTACCATGACATAATGCCGCTGCATCTCTGTCTTCTCACTGGCGAGTTTCTCACATTCCAGCTTCAGGCTGTTGGAGACATAATGAAATCTAAGACCATCGCAGAACTTGACTTACATCCTTCAAATCTAAATACACAATCCCTCTTCTAAATCATCACCTACAAACATCACATCAACAATCTTAAATACCACCCTCATTACTGAAGAAGGGGCGAAAAACAGGTGATTAGAACCAGCCTGGACTTGCCCTTTCAATAAAGATCAAATGTGTGTTGTTTTTCTTTTTAAGTTTTAAGGAAAAATAAAAAAACTCTTTTAGCCAATTTAATTCTGGAACCTCATCCAGAAACTCGTACTTTATAAAATCACTTAATGAAACAAAAAATAGGGAAATAAACATCAATTTTATCTACATATTCAAAAACAAACAAGTCCTCCAAAATGTCACAAGGGAGTTTTTTCTTTAATGTTCCACGAACAGATTAATGAAAATATGAATCAAGCATGTCTTGTGAATGATGTCTTATTTCTTCCCTCCAAAACACAGACACAAGTTAATACCACCACCCAGGGGCAAAGTGTTGATCGGGTTCAGTGGCTTTTTTGGTTCTTGCATTTACGAATTATACATCATTAAAAACCCAGCCAAAGAAAAATCTTTGAAAACCACTCTAATGACCTCCTCTAAAACGAAACATTTTTTCAGCATAAAAGTAATGAAATCGCTCACTCGTAACTTTCCAAGGCTCTTGGCATTCCAGTAGAATGGCAGAGAAGTAACAAGGAATCAAAGCCAGGGCAATAAAGGACCAAGAAGTCAAAAAGCCCCTGAATCTTCCCAACCTTCCGTTCTCCTGGACCCAATAAATCAATACCGAAAGTTTGGCCTCAACGTTTTCCAACTCTCCCCAGTTTGAATTGTTCTGCCTCGCCTTTTTTGTTTATTAATTTTAATTCACGGGAGAAATGTTTTAATTTCTTTACACCTGCCTAAAGGAAAAGCGGCTTTCACTTGCCCTTTCTGCCCATCAGAAAAAATAGTAATAATGCCTTTGTGGTGGGCAAAAGTAAGAAAGGGGGGTTGTGTGTGTTTGAGTGTGCTGGGGGTGCGGAGGAGACAAGAGCTAAGCAAACAGAAGGATCAGCTAAAGTCAATATCATTACCTGTGGTATTGAGCTTGTAAAAACTGAAACTCTTCCTTAATCCGATCACAGGACTCGGAAATTGTAAATTTAAAGGGTTGAGCAGGCTGATGCGGTGCCTAAAGAACAATAAAATATTTAATTAGCCCACATCACAGGCAAAGCAAGAAGCTGGAGAAAATATAACACGCGGCGCTAGCAAATGGGGGGTCGTCGCACAGGCCGGGAAGGAGCGATTAAAACTCTTTTTTCAGCTCCCTCCTCCCGTCTACCAGGCCCAGCAAGGTTTGACTGTCCAGTGGCCCCCGCCCCCAGCGTCCTCCAGTCCCGGCCCCGCGCAGCCCAAGCCCCGCACGATCTAAACCTCGCTCCCTCCCACGCCAACAGTGGGCGCCGAGGGACCAGCGCACCGCGTCCACTCCCTCCGCACCCGGAATCGAAACTGGCCCGTCGAAGGGACTCGCGCCATAGCGTCTGGCCGCCGTCAGGAGAGAAGGGGGGGCGGAGAGGGTGCGGACGGGACCCCGATGCAACCCTCCTGGACTCGCTCGATCGCCTGCCCCGGTGGGTCCGTACTCCCGACCCGCCGAGAGACCAGCCGCGCCGCCGCCGAGGGCGCCCTTCCCGCCCCAGCGCGGAGTCGCGCTTCCTTCATTACTCGTTCCCCCCCCCACCCCCACGGAGTCGCGGCGCGGGGATGGCGAACGGCTCCGCGCGGCTTCCGGGGGCTTCAAAGGCAACAATAAGAAAATGGCTACAACTCAATTGCCTCTCTGCACCCCCTCTCCGAGAGTGGCACCGCTCCGGGGGAGAGGGAGGTATGGCGGGCAGGCAGGCAGCTCCAGAGCGGCGCGGGGATTGCGGGCCGCGCTCCACGCCCCTCCGGCCAAAAGACAGAACTAAGCGCGCAGAGGGGCGACGCGGGGAATCCCCGGGCGCAGAGAGAACCCGCGCCCCGCCGCCCGCACTCACCGGGTGTCTGGTCTGCGGATACATCTTGCTCAGGTCGCGAATCATCCAAACCGATTTAGTTGGCTGCTCTAGGCAGAAGCGCGCGGCTCATTGGCTTTAATGGTCCCGAGGAGGAGGAGGAGGAGGCGGCGGCGCAGGCAGCCGGCCAGGTCGGAGGGGCGGCTCGGTCAGTCCCGGCCCCCGCCGGGTCTTGCGTGACGCGGGCAGGAGGAACGCGCAGCAGCGGCGGCGGCGGTTGGGTCCCGGCGGCCGGGCCGCTCCACATTCCCCGCGGGCGTCACTGGCCGGTCGCAGGCATTGTCCGGCGCGCGTCTCCCGCGGCAATGCTCCGCTGTTCGCTCTGCCGAAGCTCGCCTGCCAAGCCCAGCGCCGCAGCCCCACCGGCTCGGCCGGAAAAGTACGAGCTCTGCACCCGACTGCCCGCCGGCAGCACAGCTCGCTTGTTCAGCGCCCCACTCCAAACTTTTTTTTTATTATTTGTCTTTTAATTGGTGGTTATTCCTCCGAATAAATGATCTCTCTCTTCTTTCCTAAAAGCAAACACAAACTCCTTTGGTTCGGAAGAGGTCTCGGCGGTGCTTTTTAGTTTCTCTGGAGATGTTTTTCACTTCACAGCAACGATCTTTTAAAAGGCACCTTTTAGCTTCTTTTACCACATCTCATTTCCTTATTTTTCTTCCTTCCTGTTTCTTGTCTTTTTTTTTTTTTTTTTT